AATGATATACAAATAGAATTAATCGACGTTCAAAAGTTAATACGGGAAAACAATCGTCGACAAAACAGAATGGACGTCTGCAGTTCTTGTCATGGTCAACAATTATGGAGTAATACGGGACCAAAAGCTTCTGAGATGGAGCACCGTGACTCACTGTTTATAAAAAAAACAATATTTTTTCTTCACTTCTTGCCATTAGACAAGAAAAGCGACGGACGAGTGGATATGCGGGTTAGATGGGTGGTAGGTGTGCAGTGCCCCCCCTAAAAATGGTCAGAAACCGTAACGCGCGCCCAACAAACACGCGCTGTCAACGAGTGGAATTTAACCACGTACGATGTGAGCACAGGTGTAGTCGCGCTTAGCGGCACGCGCAGACAGTAGTAATAATGACAATAATCGTGCAACAATCGCTAGCAACGGAGCGGCGGCCACGGCGCGAATCGCCGGGTGTGGACGCAACCGCAACGAAAATCCGGCCAGCCGGTGTGGTTTTAAAACGCGGGCACGCGTGTATGCGGCGCCGGGCAAGGCCGCCCGTATCTTCTGCGTGTGTGCAACGTACCTCTTTAGCGCGTTGTAAAGCCGCCGCGAATGCTTGACTCTGATTCTTTTCCGTTGGCGGATTCACCGCTGAATAATCACTCATTGTGAAACATGAAGAATATTATCGCTGACGAAATGGATGCTTCCCGCTGAAGTAGTGCTTGGGCCGTTTGGCGCGCGCGTGTCCGGGGTAGTAGGTCGGTGGTGCGAGCAACGTACGGAATGTGCGGACAGCGAGCCGTGCGTCGGACGAGCGAGAGTGATAGAGAGATGGAAAAAAAAAGTTTGTTCTGTGCGCCGCACGTAGACGATGGATTTGTTATTACACCTAAACAAACAAGACACGCTCGAACCGTGCTTAACAACAAGCTGCCGTTTGGTTTAAAGATTAAAGACCGTTCGGTGGTCGCACGTATGTTGTGTACTTGTCGTGTGTGTACGAACTACGAACAGCGAACGGCGTCCGTCGGCGACGAAATGGGTGGGCGGGTGGCGGGCAGGCGCAGGAGAAACGACAATACAATACGTGTAGTGGTCGTCTCTGTCACACCAACAGCGGCGCACGTTGCGCTCTGTCTGCGTCGAATGTTTACGGTTGGCGGGGGGTGGAAGGGACAGCCGGGAGAAAAAACCAAGCGAAACGTGATTACCACCGCCGGACAAGGACGTTCGATATACGATCGAGTGTTTAGCCATGGAAGAATCAACAGCAGCGCGTGATTTCTCGACCGCGACAGCGCTGCGCCACAGTGGCCCGAAACGCGAAAAAATCTATATCACGTAATAATATTATGTAGTACGTAAATTTTGCAGGACACGGGCAACACTCAGCAACAGGTTATAACGTAATACTCACCGATTTCTAAACGCTAGAAACTTGTAGGATAAAATGTTTAGCGAATATTGAACAGTCAGTTTAGGCGCAATTTCAATGGAAAATCTGGGGTTGCTAAAGCCCTTTATTTCTTAGTTAGTTCACAAATGGATACATATATGAAGGTGCTATTTTCAAAAATGTGGGTTTTAATCAACTTTAAGAGCTCTCCCTCAATCTTAGCTATGCGGATAGAAATCTATGATGTATTGATGTAATACGAACGTGCTATGTATAATTGTATTTTAAATTAAAAAACTAAATAGTGCCTATCGTGTAGTAATATCTCTTCAAACGACAAATTCGCAATTCATAATTTCATTTTTAAATTATTCTTCGGCAGTTGCAATAATAAGTTAAATATCTTAATTACTATCGTAACCAATCCAGCATTAATGTACAATTGCATCTATTTAGTCAGAATTTATTACATATTGATGTATTTTATTAAAGCTCAAATAGCATAGTTTTTCATAAAATATTGGCCATTGGGTAATTTATCACTGCGGTTGACGATGATTTTATTTGGTGGCCAAAGTCAATAATAACTAATAACACTAAAATGGCTAAAAATCGATGAATCCGATTGCAATGTAACGTGTAGATATTTGAATACGAGTACAAAATTGAACTATGATTACGAACTTACCAAGTAAATTTTCTTTAGATGAATTTGTTTCGTTCTAGTTGATATGAGTAAATATACCCAACTGTAATCGATTGCTCATTACCCTATCGGCTATCATGACTACAAAATGTTTTTGAATTTCATAATAACAATTATTACTTATTAGTTTATTACCTAGTTATTACTATTAGGCATTTAAATATTAAATACGTTATTACATAGATACCTAGTGCATTAATGCAAGGCACAAGCACTTAAAACCTCGTTTCCAGCATGTAGGAATATTTCACAATTTCATTGTCTTTCCGGGATAATTAAACAAATAATATACATTTAAAAGTGTATTATGTTACATGTTGAAATTTTAATATATGTGAATCTTTTAATTCCTGTATAGTCATTGTATGTTTATAAGTATGTGTAAATGTAATAAATAGAAACAACATATATGTTATCTACTTACCTACTTACCTACCTACTTAAACAAAATCTCAGCAGAATCATCTGCACATTTCAATAATAATTATTAACTATATCAGTCATATTAACTGAGATTCAATTTTAACATTTTGATAATATAAAATATTATAATTTAATTTTTAGGAATATCATGTTTGATGAATGTGTGGAAAATCACAAATGTCAACATTCATACTTATACATTTGATTATAATTTATTTGATATTTAATATATTTATCAGATATTATCTAATTAATGATTGGCCTATAGCTAGCTATACATGAACATTATTATGCATTCATACGTTTATCGAATCATTGAGTTTAATATTATTACAGTAAAATATCCAAATTAGGCGTGCTATGCTATAAATTAAAATATACCTAACCTAACATTAATTTTTATTAGAGGTCTCTCACACGACACGAGTTTGTGAATTTATTTCACATTTTCACGTAAATATTTTTATTAATATATACGTTTATTATTACATATGGAATTTAATTTTAAATATATTTATTATATTCCAATGATTTATAGTTTTTACACAGTGGTGATCGATAATTACTGATCAGTTATTTATTTTGAACCAGAAATTAGCCTTTTTATGATAAATAATAATACTGTTTATGAAACATTTATTTTTAGATTATTATAGTTAAAGATATTTATAATTTTTAATTTTTGTAGCAATTATTAACATACTTTAATTGTTAGTATTATGTATTATAATTTAATAAGTTTAATAAATATTATTATATTTTAAATACACATGAAATAAATATCCTTGATTTACCAATTAATTAAACGTAAATTAAATTCAAAGATTTTTAATCATAAGTACACGTTAACTAATCTGAGAGCACTGTCCTAACTTATAGTTTATATCATAACGTATAAAATTTCATTTAAACCTATGAATCCTAAAATTGATAAAACATGCAATTTTTCTTTATCACTAAACTTTAGTAATTGTACAACAGAAATCAACAATATAAATACTGATACACTATATGAAACTTTAAAATGTAAATATATTTTAAATATAAAATTATTATACGTAATATAAATCATAATAGTTAAAATTAAAATTTTTACTAAAAAAAAATTTGAAAATTATTGATTCATATGATAATTTTTTGTTATTTATAGACAATGTTTAAATGTTTTATAGTAAATTGTATATTATAGATTTTTTTTTGTTCTAGAATCATAGAAAAGTCTATAAATTGCTCTTTTATAATATACATTAGCATCTAGCCCGACACTGTAGTACAGTGAATAATAACAATAAACCATAAAGTGCTTTTGTTTAACGAATTATGATATATATTATAATATATTACCCAAACTGACCACATTATTTATGAATACATTATTAAGTCGTTAAAAAGTTCGTATAGAAAAGGAATATATTCATTCTATGTTTCTTTACTTAAAAAAAAAGGTTCATGTACGAGTTCAATATTAAAAGAATATAATATAGGAAACTATTACATTTTTTGGTTAAAGTATTATTGAATCTATTCAAACATAAAAGTATATAATGATTTCAATTTTTCAATTTTTCTCTTATGTGAAATTACAAACTTAGATTTTTATTTTTCTATTCATTAAAAATTAAGCGAGTAATATTTTTTACCATCCATTAATCAATAATTATCGAATGAATATGGTGATGGTCGATGGTGAAGACTGGAGATTATCCGTTACAACCATTGAGCTATAATAATACCTATACTTATTAATGTGAGTCGTAAAAGCTAGTAAAGTATAATGGTATGGATAAACTATATGGATCGTTCTATACTTTAGTGTTGTAAAGAATACTTTTATTTTTTATACGGAATACGTATTCGAATAAATGAGAATTAAAGTATTCAGAATACATACTCGAATATTTGAAATAGTATTTGAATATTATAAGAATATTTTTTTTCTGCTAGTTTTTATCTGCAGTTTTGAAATGGTCGGGAATTAACAGTTATAGATAATAATTAATACAAACATAATAATCTATAACACATCAATGTAATATAATGGTTATTGCATTATATTTCGTTTAATGAATAAAACTAATATTCGTGATTTATAATTTGTCCAATAATAATAGAACAATGTCTTGTTACAAATTAAAAACTATTTTTCTGGTTCAAAAAAAAAGTATTTTTTAACGAATAAAAAAATACAAACAAAAGTGTTCAGTATTTGAATATTTTTTTAAAAATGTTTTAAAAATATTATTTGGATACAAAAAAAGTAAAAATAGTTTTATTCAAACACTTTACTAGACCGCGGCATATTCTCATTTTGAGTGTGTTATTGGACACTATTGGTTTTCTGTTGGGTTTTGGATATATTATTTTTAAACAATAAATCGTAGTCGCACCGCATTATTGCTCGTCGACGACTGCTAGATAGCGTTAGACATTTCACGAACGAGTTCGTGTCGCCCCCAACTTGTAGACTGTTGTAGTGCAGTTCACATCAACGGCACGCCGCTACTGCTACGGCCGCAATTCTGTTTAAAGACGCGTAGACCCTCCCTTCGTGTATCGTCGTTCAGTTCAGTGTACCGAACGGCTTCATCCGCGAAAGCTGCGGGGCGACCGGGACACGTGTTGCTGCGTGCCGCCCTCAATATACGCGAATCCACGCGATTTTATGCATTGTAACTTCCAATCACTAATTTTATTTTTAAAATTTTTTTTTCTGGTATTCGATCGTAATTTGTTTAAATATCGTTTTAATTGTCATTATCTTTATCGCGTGCTCGCACGAAAAACATACCCGTCACACACGCACTGGCTAGTTTGTTTCTCGCTGTCTCGTTCGGTCGTGTCCAAAAAACCGAATCTGTACAGAAAAAATCCGAATTTCCGGCGAAAATAGAAATATTTTTTCCCAAAAACTGACGTCTGTCCCGGAGGTGAATAACATCGCACAGGTTGTGACGAGCTGCACCGCGCGCCGTCTCAGCGACCAATCTGCAGCGAGCGCGACGGTGGCGGTGCAGCCGGCGTTCGCAGTCCGCACGTTTTGACTTCGTGACCATCCACCTGTTGCCAGTACCGCTTCGGCAGCAGCGGCATTAGAGGCGCATCGGCGACTTCGGCCGTAGGAGCAGGAGCGGCAGTCCGATCCTCGCACGCTGTGCCATGTCATCGCACAGCAGCTCCATGCGGACGTTCCGGAGTTCCGATTCGGCCAGCGAGATCGGATCGTCCGAGACTTCGTTCTCCGAACGGTCTCAACCGTATTTCGCGTTGTGCTCGCCCCGGTCCAAGTCATCCGTTAACGTGTCCAGCGGCGGTGGCGTGGCCGCCGTCGCAGCGGATCCGGGAAGTAGCGTGGTCGGCGGGTCGGGTTCGATGTCATCTGGGATCAATCACATCAACCACAACAGCCACAACAACAACAACAACAACAACAACCACAATAACAACAGCTTTAAGCAGCAGTCGGCGCAACAACCGCCGGCGGTCGCGTACCACAAAAAAAAAAAAAAAAAAAAGTCCAGCGCCAAGGCGGCCAACAAGCCGCGACCCGTCGTCCGCCGGGACCTGGGACACGTAAACTCGTTCCCGGACGCGCACCACAACATGCACCACAAGACGCCGCCGGGCGCCGGTTCGTCGTCCACGTCGTATTACACGCCGCCGAGGAGTCCGTCGCTGAGCGTGACCACTCCGACCGACGGGCCGCCGCGCCGCAGCCCCACGACCCCGTCGTCCGCCGGAGTGTTCAAGTTCCCGCCGTCCGCGGGTTTCGCGAACCCCGCCTCTTCGTCGTCCGGCGGCTCGGCCGTCGTCCACCATTACGGCCGCAGCGGCGGCACAAACCCGAATACGCCGAGGACGCTGCCCAGGAGTCCGTCCACCGGCAGCGCCGCTACCACCACGTCGTACAACACGAACAGCGACAGCGCGTGCAACACTCACAGGTAAGTGTCACGTCATCCCTTATTGTCGTTGAACGTGTTCCGTTATATGCACGTAATAACTGTTGTAAATTATATATGAGTATACTTGCGCTAGATACTGTACCTGCCGGTCGAGCGCGGAGATTTGTAGATCATTGAGATTTATACTTCAAGGGCATTATTTCGAATTTTTAAATATTGAATTTTTTACTGTATGCGTAGGACATGATGAAATGTATATTTTTTTTTAAAAAATAATACTGGCACTGCTGCCGTTGCATACTTCGATATTTTTTACTAATTACTTGGTGCCTGCATAAAAAAAAATCATGCTCAAATTATAAAATATTATGTGACTATAAAAAACCTTTTAATCAGAACAGTTATTTAAAGCATTCTAAGTAGGTACTCAAGGTTAAACTTTTTTATTATACAGTAAATTCCTTAAATAATTATTTAAAAATTAAATGATTAAATATAAACGTAAAAATTATAACATATTGTACAAATAAAATTGAATAATAACTCTAATTAATTAATACCATTAAAGTATGGTGTTAGTAATTAACAAGGCATTAGTCGGTATTTTAGATAGTAAATCAACACATGTATTTAAAAAGTTATTAAAAAAATGGTTTTATACGTTAATATAACAAGTTCAATAAATTATATAATATTATCTGAAGTTTTACATAATATCTATACTGTGTACCTAATAACTAAAAATAAATGTCTAATGTCCAAAAGAATAATATGCCTGCATAAAATTAATCCCTAATTTATACACAAAATTAATTCAACCAACCGTATTACTAATTGTAAAATAAATTATTTTTATAGAATTACTAACATAATATAATGAAATATTTTTGGTGATATTTAGGCTTACAGACCGCCTTTTCTCAGAATCGTTTGTCATTACTATATGACAGATTTTATTGAAATAAAATTAAACACATTCATTACAATGATTTACTCGATTCCAAATGCACAGAAGAGCGGTATCCACTAGTCCACATTTTTAAATTTAATATTCTATCTATTATTTTTATATGACAGGTAAAAATAGGTTTATGTATGAACTTTTTTCTCATGTTACTGAGCGGAAAAACATCTTTCCTCTTCATATTTTATTGGAATTTAATTTTCAAACAAAAATAAGTTTATTTGATTAATATAATATGCTTTTTTTTTTTAAATTAATATAACTATTCCATTTATGGGGATGGATTCTACTCTTAAAAGCATTAAAGTTACAGATAATTTTACTCATTTATTGTTTTATAATGAGTGATGACTGATAAACCTAAATATATAATATTTATAGGTACGTATAAATGGATAATGTATACTTATCGAGCAGCTTCTTAAACATTGTTTTAAGTAAAGTTAATGGTACTCCCGATATTTTTTTATTTTTATGCGATTTGTGTATAGATACTATAGGTATCAATTATTTTAATGTGAATAAAATATAAATGACTAAACACGCAGTGACAAATAAGTTAATAATATTATATTCTAACTTAAACATGTTGGAATATAATTATATACCTAACTTTGGAGTGTTAATATTGTTATTTTTTTATAGTACGATCTTAAGTATATAATAATAATATTATTATAGTTACGTACACGTACATATTAATTTGTTTGTTTAATTTAAAAATGTCTTCGAAATTTATTAGGTTGCTTTACCTATAAAATAATATACACAGCGATTCACTAAGTATAATCATCTATATTTTTCCTTTAATAATTGGAATTTTCAAGTAATTTAAGTTAACATTATAATATTATCAGTAATAGGTAATATCCTTGGGCGATACGCATTAATTTATCGCACTTTTTTTATGAATTGTTAAGCAGATGATATTTTTACAAATTTTTATACATCTGATTCGAAATTTAATTTTAATATTTGAGTAATTTAACTTTATGTTCTAATGATAATGTGGCTGTGATATAAATGAAGGATATGGATTAAATTTGATGAAATAAAAAATTATAGTAATTATTATAATAAGTATCGATTACCATTTTATAATTTGTAAAATTTATCTTAGTTTTATTAATACTAGAATTAATATCATATTATTACATACACATTTCATATTTTTATAAAAAAATTTTTAAGGAACATTATTCTTATAGTATATTTCAATAATTTAGAAATTACTCTTTTAAATTTTTTTGATTTAGATACATTATTAAAACTTAAAATTTAAATTATTTCCTTAATAATTTGCATTAAAAACAATTAATTTTCATTCTAAAAAAAAGTTTTTATTACCAGAGGATAATCCTTAGTCATCTTACTTGGTATAGAAATGGCGATAAGCATGTTTGGTGAATTACATTGCATATTACTTACTAAAAAAAATATCCTAAAATTATTTTCGAAAGTTATTTAAGAGATGAGGTTTATTTCATTTATTAAAAGTCGTTTGAGAAAATAATCTATAAGTATTTTAACTTTTGATTTATGTATGTTTAAAATAAAATTTATAGCTTATAAAAGTTTTGAATCCATTTTTGAATTTTTTTTTAGAAGATTTAATTGAACATTTTTATACAAAAATATATAAATTTTTAAACGATGTAAATATTTGAATAACTATAAGGTTAGAATTATTGATTAACTTAAATTATCATATTTAAATTAAGTAGGTATTACAGATTACTAGTCTGATTAATTTTAGTTTTATCTCGATGTATAGGTGCCTACGCATTAAAAGCTTATTTGGTTAAATATGTTAAAATTGTTTCGATAATATATAAGCTATTAACTAAATACAGTAATACTTAAAATTTAAAAGTTTTTAAAATTGAAAAAATAGTTTTCACAAAATACTTAACAAAGTAACTTACTTAATATATTTAATAATTTATTACTTAAATATATACGTAATACATTAAAGGTATATAATTTATATCCATTATCTATATTTTTTATATTATAATGTTATACCATTATGGTCCTGTTCATAATAGTTATAATAGCTGTAATTGAGTAATTCATAATATGTTGTTGTAATATTATAAAGTTATTAAGGAAAGAAATGAACTTTAATTTATAGAAGTTAATATATCTTAACTATCCGTGATTAAAAATCTAGATATAATAATATTTTGTTGAATGATACACGATTACATCGAGATGATTTAAAAATAAACCTTACTTTTAATGAACTATAAGTAAATAACTTGTATTTAAATTTCATTTTTATCATATACTTATCAGAGACTGATACTATAATGGTTTGAATTTTGGATTAGTAAGTATAATTGCAGGTATAGATGGCCAGGTAGATACCTAAGTCTTGAATAGACTTAATAGTAATATTAGGTACAGTTTGTTGATAGTGTCTTGGTTTAATATTTATGTAAATTAGAATAATCTGTTAAGCTGTATATATTATGTATGCAGTAGTATACTAAATTAAAATTTAATATAGATATTATTATACCTAGGCGACAGTTAAAATGATTTAGTGTAAATTGGAAACTTCACGGTAGGTAATGCTATTAAATAATTATCTCCACTTAAAAATAATACTAGATTTTTTATATTTTATAGCATTCTCGAGAATGACAAAAAGTTGTTAACGATGCCATTAAAATATTCAAGTATAGGTAATTTATCAATTGTAGACATAGAAGATGATGCTTTTATCTTATTTTTATAACTATAGAGTGCTGAATTACTTCATTTAACTAATAAAAATAATAAATATAATGGAATCAGTATTTTATTTTTGCCCAAGCTCTTTTTAAATTAAAAAAAAAACGGTAATGTGGTATTTTTGGTATTTTTTTTTTTTGGTTTGTTCTCGACTCTGGAATTTAAGTTTTCATTAAGTTGTAAAAATTATATTATTTATTCAATGATTTGTATTTAAATTAAACGAATACAAAGTGCAATTTACCAAGTATGCTTACACCGATTTTTTTTTTTAGTAATTAATGTGTTCAAATTTAGATTATTGAAGTTTTTAAGTATAAGCCATTATTAAAGATTATTTTTACGTCGATACTTAGAGTGGACAACCTGATTTTATCGGTGATACCAACATTTTTCTATAAAATGAAAACCAACTTTTTTTGTTGTAAATTGACGAACAGATGATTTTTTTGAAAGTCGCTAGTTTTTGGGTTGTTAAAATGTATAATGTATATAATATATTACGTGGATAATAATTCTTAAAAATATTTTTACAAAAATATAAAGTAAGTAGATGTTATATTTAATTTAGTACTTATTATGTTTGAATCACAAATACTATGCATTGTATATATCTGTGGTTTGAACAATTTTTACAAATTATAAATTGTTGATAGATTATTAGTATTTAATACTAATGGCTAAAATTTTCGGAATCGCCATTGATTTTATATCTACATGCATTTATATCATGTATTTTCACGATTATTTGTTTTTACATATTGTAAGTTTTAGAAGTAAAATTTAGGAGTGTGCAAATATACGTCCTTTATCTTCCAAATCTTATAGCTAGTACTATTTTATGTTTAGTATACAAAGTTAAATAAATCAAAAACTAATGGTTTGAATTTCGATTTAAAATTTAAGTATATCACATTACCAAAAAAGTTATTTTTTGAATAATGTACAGTAAAAAAAAAAAAAGGATGGTTATTTTTTGTACAAAAAAGAAGTTGTTTTTGCTGATAAACACTTCTACACTGGAATAAAAAAATCTTAAAATTCAAAAACTTTTATTTGGGGAATTACTCTGTATATTAATTGTTAGTGAATTAATGATAAAAACAGTTGTTATAACGTTTTGTAGCTGTATACTGTTTTGAATGTTTAGAGTGTAACTTATTGCCATTGAGTAGATCATTGTAATGGATGTGTTGGATTTGATTTCAATGATAAATAATTAGGTACATATGAGCAAATACAGTTGTGTCAGCTTCTATTTCAAGTATATTATATAATTTCTTTACATTACTTTTGATTCTATTTGTAAACAATGTGCTATTGTAATTTATTATTGTTATACACTTATAACTTAAAACATAATACTGACATAAAGTGGATTGGTGTGAATAGATCAAAAGTGGTAAAAATATCTATAAATGCTTTTACATTGTGTATAGAAAATAATAATAATGGAAAAAAGTTTCAAGTTCCCACAATTAATGTGATTTTAATTAAAAAAAAAAAATAAAAAAAAATTAGTAATTATAATAATAATAATAGTTATAATAAATATGATAAATATGATAAATATTAGACGCTATGTAATATTTTAAAACTCCAGTAAAAAACCATCTTCAAAATTGAAGCATTTTTACGAGTTTAATGCTTCAAAAAATGATGATGGACAAAAAAATAATTAATAAATATGTTATTGTAAAACCATTACTTTCATCGCTTCGCTTGAAATCAAAATAAGACTATTTCTAAAGTTTATAAATAGCTTAAAAAAAGTACAGACATTAAAAATTATGTATAAAAAATGTTAATATAAACGTATTGTGAACATTCTTAGTAACAACATTTTCAAATTAAGAGTTAATTTTTGATTCGCTAACTATGTTAATTCATTTATTGATTTAATACCTATTTAGTATATGCAACTTAATATAGATGTATACAATTACTATTAATAATAAAAATGATATATAGTTTATTGGTAGGTAACTATTTACATATATGTACTTATATTAAAAATAAGAAAGTTTATATTTTTAGTTTTGAAACCAAATTAGATATAATATCAATATTTATCAATTTTGATCATAGATTGGTATTTCTCAAGTAAAAAGTTTTAATGGGTAGTGAAATATATACTTTTTTAAATGAAGCCAATTATATGTAATAATAATAAGTATAGATGATTTTTGTGCGATTTATTTCAATTGCTGTACACATATTATATTCTAATATTTGTTTTAATTTGTTCATTCATATTAAACATAAACAATTATATGTATACAAATAATAATAATAATGTAATATTTTATGCGACATTAGACAGTTTTATTAAAAAAAATTATATTTATACACGTTGTAAAAGTATCAATAATATTGTAAATGTTTATTAATTAATACTTACTTCTAATTTATTTTAGGTCAGCGTCTGATTTAACTGAGTGCACGGAAGAGGATATATCCACGATGCCAGCGTCGGTTTCTAGACCATCGTCACCTAGAGGCCGAGGACTAGCTTATTTAGCGTCACGTCGAAGTAGTCGTGATTCTCAATTTTCCAATGAAGAATTAGCACCGCTTAACTTTAATGCCACAGCTCGCGGGAGACAAAGAAGAACATCTAATTTTTTGGAACTTCCAGGTAATTATATTTATCAATTATTATTTATTAAAAAATTCTAAGATGTTAGAAATTTTAAAATAATTGAAAATCTGAACGAGATTATATATAATATATATATCGTTGGGTATCAGATAATTGTCAATCAATTTGTTCTGTCTATAAAAAATTGTCTGATATTTGATAGTTAATTATTAATAATATGTAGTTCAAAGCATTCAAAAATAAATTATTTTAATTTAAAATTAACTGACAAATAGATTACAAGAAATTTTCGGAAAACTTCGTTTATTTTAAATAGTTGTCACAAAAAAAAAAAAAAAAAACAACTACATTTATAATTATGTGAGGAAAAAATGATTTCAACTTCTTAATAGTATTAGCTAGGTACCTCTAAGGTTTAAAGAACAAGATTTATCATGATGAAAACTAACTATATATATCGTTGCAATTTGTCTTACGGTTAATACCTACTTCATGTTTAACACGCAAATTGATATTTTTCATGTTAATGCATATATTTTAAAATGGATTATTAAATTATGCGATATTTATTAAATATATGTTAAAGCCATGATGCTTTGAGATATTTGACCAGCTTCCGAATAACGTTAGTATTTCTTTTTAAATAATTTAACTCAAAGAAAAAAAAGTTTGATCTTTCAAACAATGAACACCTAAATATTTTGCATTGTAGGTACATTTATAAATTGTGTTTTTCAGTTGAATTATTTCTGCTCTACCCTTATTATTTTTTTACCGCCGTAAATGATAAGTTCCAACAAACATTCTAATTCCTAGTATGATAAAATTCTTAATTAACTGAATTCTGCATTTTCAGTATTTCTGTTAACACTTGAATTAAAACACATTAGTAATTTTTTTTTTGTAAATGTTTGACGATATTTATAAGGTAAAGTGTATTTATCCTCTTATAGGTACTTATAATAGTACATATTGACACATTTAAAATGCAATAAATCTATAAACTAAATAAAAAATGTGAATTAGTCTAAAAATTTATAAATAATCAAACAGTTTAATATAAATATTTGTTAATTTTATTATATTAATTATTAATTAATCATCTTATTTTTAAAAAATATTAATTAAAAGATTATTTACCCCTTTTAAATATTTGCAGTTTGGGTATCTTTTAATTGTTTTATGCCTACTTCAAATAATTCATTAACGAAAGTTTAAAATATTTTCATTGATTATATCAACATAATACTATGTTGAATGTTATTTAAATTATTATATTTAACAAGTTAATAACCGCTTTTAAACCCTTTAACTAATTTACTTGTAGAATACCTAAATGTATTTTACATAAAACATTTTAATAAACTATTTTTTATTAAATATGTATCATATCGTAAAAATAAAATATATTTTTTTTTTATTATTTAAAAATGTGTTAGTCCGAGACTTATAACACAAATTTGTAGTTGAAATAATTTGTACTTTATATTTATTGAAGAATATTCTATTTTGTATAAACTACGATTTAAAATAATATTAAAAATCAGTTTATACAGACGTATAAATACCATAATACATAATATATTGTCACATGCAAATAAAATCTATAGCAATTTATTGTATGGACTAATATAATTTAGATAGGGTTCTATGAGAATATTATTTAAGTTCATTGCTTAATACAGTATTAAATGTATGCGTTGCCTAAAGGTTAATGATATGTGAGTAACGTTATGTAATTAATGAAGATAATCAAGTTATGTAGTTGAAAATATATTTTTTTGCACAGTGATAAAGAATCATTGATATAATTTTCCAAGTAGAAAAAAAAAACATTACAAAAGTTGTATAGGTATAATTATTATTGTTTGAAATATTTACTAAGAAAAGTAATTGTATGTAGGTACTTCATGTTCGTAAAAAAATAATAAATAACGTAAAAATTATTTTATTGAAAAAAATTATTAATTTAGTTGAAGATTATGTATTCAATTATTATTTAAAATAACGCAGACTAATTTTAGTTATTGAATAAAAATTAATTCATTTCTGAAGAGATAATTTTAACATATTTAATATAGTAGGGAATACATGATGACATACAGTAGGGGTATATACATGGTTATTCATGAGCAAAAAAGATCAAACTAAATGTTCAACCTGTGGAGTTTAATTAACAGTAAATACATTCTAGACGAATGCAGACAAATGGTAGCTATTATAGAGTCAAATTCAATATTCCCGAGTTCTTTCATTAATTTACAAGTAGTACAACCTTTATAGGTCTATAATAGGACAATTGAGATAGTCAATAAATAAGTGATGAAATTCATAAGAAAGATAAAATAATATTATTTATTAAATGTAATAAAAAAAACATAACAAATCTTTAACAATCATTAAAGTCAAATTATCATTACTTGAATATATATATATAAATAAATATTATTGGTCTACGATCAAAAATAAAAATTCCATTTTAAATATATTCTATTTATTTTCTCTTCCATTTAATATAAAATAAATAGATTTTAACGAAAATACTTTTCAGTAAATTATTATGTTAGATTAATATAATTCGATAATAATTTATGATTTATTGTTATTATTGTTAGTAAATTTATAATATTTTTTATTACTAATAAAAAAAATAAATAATAATAATAGTGTTTTATATAATATTAACGTCACAACTTTAATCAAACAAATAACTATATATAATGATAGAAGTGGGTTGATTGGTTCGATACGTAATATTATGTAAAAGTAACATCGTTTGGATATTAAACATGATTATATTTTCCATTTATAATAAATATGTTTGTGTTTGACATGCAATTTTAAAGAAAAACTAAATAGTGCTAAATTTATTATTTTTAACTTTAAGTTGTAAATTTTTTTTGCTAGATTCGCATAAGTTGGTGAAACAGAGTATTATTTCATGACACATTTGACATCTGATGTATGTTGTCATTGTCATAAGATAGTAAAATTAGTAAAGTTTATTATGCTTAGTTTAAAGTTTTAGTGAAAATTGCTCTGCTTTTAGATTAAAATATATACATAAGTGAATAAAAAGTGGTAAAGTTTTAAACGAAATTGTTTACGAACTAAGAAACATATTATGATAACACGGTCACAACATTAACATACTTTGAAAAATGAGGATGGAGGAATATAACAATTATTTAACTACCTATGCTTATGAAAATATGATAATTGGTTGATAAAAAGTTTTAAACGTAAAATATTCTTGAAAATAAATAAGTAAATGTTATATATTTTAAAGTTTATCTACGAATATTTGTGTTGTTGATAATTTATGATAACTGAAAATTATTTCTAAATGGACTTTAATAATATTAGTGTTTCATATCGGAATGTACCTAGTAGGCTATAATAATAGAGATAATTATAACTTATGAAGTTATAAATAAAAATAGTAATAATAATTTATTTTATTTCAACCATTATATATATATATCATCTTATATAATATGTATTATATATAAGTATATTAATATAATTGGTAAATATAAATAATTTATTGAGTTTACATTTATTCAAATTTCTATGTACCTACATTAATTAAATGAAAAAAAATAAAATAATAGAAACATTTTATAATAATATATTTTTATTGTATTTCAGTGTTTTAAAATAATATTTAATTTTAATTTTATAATCTAAATTGTAATTTTTTTTTTTTTAATTATTAATAATTTAATTACAAAAAAATGTATTTATTATATTTTTCAAAGTTTCAAGTGAGTACTATATAGAACATATATTTTATTATTAGCATATTATTATATAAGATATTTAAAGATCATATTTTTTGTTTTATTTTAAATTTAAAAAATGTAAATTCGTGGCGAGTAAAGTGAATTATTATTGTGGGAGTTAAAATGTTAAAAAGAGTTAATTTGAACAAATCACTTGTATAATGTGTGTTGTTTAACCAAAAATAATTTCATTAGAACATTTCAATGATACATTTTATATATATATATAAATACATATAGGTCAGGTATCTGTAATTTATAGTTATTTTTGCGTAAACAATTTCCGATTTAAACATTTTTGATAAATATTTAAGTCTAAAATCATTCAAGTAATATTAAATATTTATTTTCAAATATTAAGAATTTACATAATATTTAATAAATATTATTCTGTATATATTATAAAAAAAAAAAAAGGATAATGATAAAAATGGAAATAAAAATAAAAATTATCACAAACAATAATGAATAAATCGTTAAAAATTAACTCAACATTGTTAAGAACTCTATTTTTTTGATAAAAATAACAAAGATAAATATTGTTTTATAATTGATTGAGAAACACTTAATTTATATTTTAAATTTATTTGAAGATACTGTATTTGAATTAAGAAGTCCTTTAGTTAAATACCAATTTACCTAACCTATCATTTTTTCAATGTATAAAAGCATTGAAAATTAATAATTTGTTTTCTAATTTAATTTGAAAGATGAAATCGAATTACAGATAGTAAAAAAATAACATCTCAGTAAATATCTTCATTAAATAAATACCATGTGTGAGTAGTATTTAGTCATTCGAACAAAATTAGATTTGTGAAAAAAGTAATGTGATAATCGATTAGGTATACGCATTAATGTGTTAAGGTTTTTTACCTTTATAAAATATATTAACTTTGTTTGAAATATTTTTAATTTAATTTAAACTTGACTTTAGCTGCGCCATTATTGTATTGTATTAAAAATTAAAAATATAAATATAATTTAGATAGGATAGAGTAAACGAGTAATGGACTATTGGCAATGTGCATTGAACAACATTATTTTAATGCCTCATAAATAATTATAGTTTTTGAAAATAGATTTATACAAATATTTATTCTTACAAGATATTTTAGTAGCTATATTCATCTTTTATTTTATCCTAGAAAAATGTTCAATTAAATTGCCACTAGAACGAGTTGCGTCTATGTATTAAGTTGAACTCGTATAGTTTCAGACATAAACATATTATGTAATGTTCATTATTAT